TCGTTCTGTAGTTCGGTTGATTTGCATATTACACTTTTATTATTATAGATAATGGAAAGGTGATTCATTTATGTGTTATTAATTACCCTATTCTGTTTTTATAATTTAACATTGAGTGCTTGAAAGTTTTCATAACAGTTTAAAATGAATCTCATGTAGTTAAATAAAACTAGAAGAAAAATAACATCTGAAACAACTCAGTGCTCAAAAACTATGGCATCTGGTGAGAATACCTTTCCTTCTCTTGAAGAGCAGCTGTTGACATGACCAGAAGAAACGTAAGGCTCTCTTGTGAGAAGTCACTTGATTTAGCCACATAGCATAGCTGACTAATCTGTATTAAAATCCAACAACTCTGATCCATGCTTGATTTTTGTTTTTGTTTCTGATATTTTGCTGTTCCCCAGGGCCAACATCTGCCAAATGATCAGACAAAGGTACCCATAAACATGGGATTATTAAATGATTCTTTTCCTTGTATTACCAGAACACAGCTAATGTCTAGCACACAGAAGGCCCTCACCAAACTCTGAGGCAGTGAATGAGAGAATGTATGAATGGTTCATTGAAAAAAGTGATAGAAGATATAAACAAGTGGAAGAATTTACTGTGTTCATGGATTGGTAGAATTAACATCATTAAAATGTGTATACTCCCAAAAGCAACCTACAGATTCCCTATTAAAACACCAAAGGAATATTTCACAGATCTAGAACAAATACTCCAAAAATTTATATGGAACAAAAGAAACCCCGAATAGCCACAGCAATCTTGAGAAAGAAGAACAAAGTTTGAGGGATCACAATACCAGATATCAAGTTATACTACACAAAGCCACTGTAATCAATACAGCCTGGTACTGGCAAAAGAACAGGCATATAGATCAATGGAACAGAAACCCCAGAAATCAATCCAAACCATTATAGCCAAATCATACTTGACAAAGGAGGCAAGAGCACACAATGGAGTCAAGACAGTCTTTGTTAAATGGTGTTGGAAAAGTTTGACAGATACATGACAAAAATGAAACCAAATCACCAACTTATACCATACACAAGAATAAACTCAAAATGGATAAAAGACTTAAATGTAAGCCGGGAAACCATAAAAATCCTAGAAGAAACATGCCTCTGACATTTCTCGTAGCAATATGTTTACAGATACATCTCTCAGGGCAAAGGAAACTAAGGAGAAAATAAATAAATGGGACTACAAAAAAAATAAAAAGCTTCTGCACAGCAAAAGAAACCATCAACAAAAGGAAAAGGAAGCCCACTATATGGGAGAACATATTTGCAAATGATACATCTGATAAAGTGTTAATATCCAAAATATAAAAAGAACTCATATAACTTAATAAAAGGAAAACAATCCAATTAAAAAATGGGAGAAGTGAATATACAGATGGCCAAGAGACATGAAAAAATACTCAAAATCATGACAATGAGGTATTACTTCCCACCTGTCAGAATGGCTACCAGCAACAAATCAACAAACGACAAATGCTGGCGAGGATGTGGAGAAAAGGGAACCCTGGTACAATGCTGGTGCAAATGCAGACTGGTGCAGCCACTATGGAAAACAGTATGGAGGCTCCTCAAAAAATTAAATATGGCCCTAGATGGTTGGGCTCAATAGACAATAGAGTGTTGGCCTGCGGACTGAAGGGTCCCAGGTTCAATTCTAGTCAAGGACACTTGCCCAGGTTTTGGGCTTTATCCCCAGTAGGGTGCATAGAGGAGGCAGCTGATCAATGACTCTCTCTCATCATTAATATTTTTCTCTCTCCCTCTCTCCTCCCTCCCTTTCCCTCTGAAATCAACCTATCTCTATCTATCTATCTATCTATCTATCTATCTATCTATCTATCTATCTATCTGGAACTGCTATTTGACCCAGTGATCCCACTTCTAGGAATATATCCTAAGAAACCCAAAACACCAATCGGAAAAAATGTGTACACCCCTATGTTCGTTCACAGCAGTGCAATTTACAAAGGCTAAGATCTGGAAACAACTCAAGTGCCCATGAGCAGATGAGTGGATAAGAAGCTAAGGTACATTTACACCATGGAATGCTATGCAGCAGTAAAAAAGTATCTCTTACCCTATGAGATGCATGGAAGGACCTGGAGAGTATTAAGCTAAGCAAAATAAGCCACTCAGAGAAAGACAAGTATTATATGATTTCACTCATATATGGAATCTAATGAACAAAATAAACTGGTGAACAAAATTGATCTAGAGACATAGAAGCATGAAACAGACTGCAGAATCTCAGAAGGCAGGAGGGCAAGGATCGCTGGATGGGAAGAGATCAACCAAAGAACCTGTCTGCAATATATGCATAACCCAGGGACACAGACAATATGGGTGAAGGCCAGGGGCGGGGGATGGGGTGGATTGATGTAGGTTAAAAGGGGCCAATGGGGGTAAAAATGGGACGTACGTAACACTTTCAACAATAAAGATTAAATCCTAATATGTAAAAACCCTGGGTTCATCACATCCACAACAACTGGAGGCTCGATCTAATGCCCAGGCTGCTTGCGCAGCAGGCTCTGGTGGGTGGGGACTTGTGGCAGTGAAGATGGGGATGGGGGAGGTGGGGACAGCACTCACATTCACTCACAACCACACAAACGCACAGACACACACAGCGCCCACCAGCTCACAGCCTTTTCTCCCTTTCCTCCCTCCCAGCTCGCTTTCAGAGCCTCTCTCAGAATGAGAAAACAAAACAGACTGGGCTTGGAGAGGCCAGCCGGGAAAGAGGAAGAGGGAGATAGGGAGGCCTGGAGGACTGCTGAGAAAAACAAAGAGAGACAGAGACTGGGCAAGATCAGGCCGGCAGGGGAGGGCATTAGACTGGCAGTCAGACATCTCCCAAGGGGTCCACGATTGAAGAGGATGCAGGCTGGGCTGAAGGATACCCTCCTCCCTGCCCTGCACGAATTTCGTGCACCAGCCGTGTGTGTGTGTGTGTGTGTGTGTGTGTGTGTATCACAGGTGTCTGTAGGTATATGTGTATCACAGGCGTCTGTAGGCAGATGTGAATTTCGTGCACCAGGCCACGTGTGTGTGTGTGTGTGTGTGTGTGTGTGTGTCACTGGCTAAACAACCTGCTGACAGAATCTGCAGACTTTTGTTCTCAGTTTCTCAGAGAAATCCTCCTGTCTGAGAAGCCACGGCTTGCAGAGTGAAGGGCAGAAAGAAGCCCTGGGAGTTTTCTAATTCAGTGTGTCAACTTTCACTTCATCATTAGTTTCCACATGGTGTCCTCACCCTCAGCTGTGCCTATTGCACAGAATCCACAGGCTGTCCATTTACCTTCTCAGTCTTCCATGAAGGTAAGAAAGGCACACTTGCCTCTGTGAACAGGGTAGACATGAGATCTGGGGGCTACCTGTTTCTCATACAGACTTCCAACCAAACCTCCTGTGTCCTGTTATCACCTGCTCCCCTATTTTGAGGGGTATCTGATGTCCCTAATTCTTGAGCCTCTCTGGCAGTCAGAGATGCATTAGGTTGCTTTGGGGCTTCTCACATTACTGGCTTAGGACTTCACTGTGATTAAAAGGGCCAATTTAAGCTGAAAACCAAGGAGAGAGAATAGAAATGGACAAAAAAGAAACCCATTCCAAGAAAGACGATATTTTAATACAAATGAATATTGGTTACAACTATTATTTCTGCTGTCCATCTTCTAAAATCTGATTGGTATTTTCTTCTTTCCCTTCTGAGTGCATGCCTATTTTACTCCTTGACTTTTACTTATAGTGGGGCTTCATGAAGAAGCAAATGTTAATATATTTAATCAGTCACATTTTACTGAAGTTGCCACTAAAATTTTTGCAAAGGAGAAAAAGTATTAAAAATCAAACTTTGAAGTAAATTTCTCAGAAATTCATCTAATCTATTTTATAACTATGATTTTTTTTTATCAGAGATAATATATTATTTTAACCAGTTTCATGAGAGGAGACACTATTTCTATTTCATTCATCATCATATTATGCAATACCTAGCATAATAAGTGGTCAACAAATATTTATTAAGCAAGTAAATTGAGTGGATATAGATATGATTTAAAAATGGGATCTTTAGATTCTATAGTTTCAGAACTTATCTAATTCACCTAGGGATACTTTAGAAATATTCCAAAAAGCAAGCAATCAGAAACAGAAACACTAACTTGGAACTCAATTATGATATTTCAAACAAAGTCCTTTATTGCAAAAATTTTACTGTGATTCTGTATTCTGTACCAGTGATTTCTCAGGTAGTAATGAATTGGCATTCATATTTACTTAGTTATCCAGAATAACTATTAATGTAAAAGTAAAATTATTACAACTGCTACAAAAATATTTACTTACAGCTAATAGATGTACAATTTTAAATGTCGTTAAATGTACTTGTAATATTGAACAAACTCTAATCAATACTAAAAATGCCAAGTCCACCATATTTAAAATCTGCAGATGAGCTATTTACATTGTGGGTCATATGAGAAAAAACAAAACCCAGTAAGATTATTAAAGAATTGTCTAGTAGATTCTTCTCTTTCTTGTCAAAGAATTCAAAGGGCCATCACAACATGCCACGTCTGACTCCGTAATTACAATGTAATTAATTGTATGTGTTTTGTTTCCTAGTCTCTTTTGGCTACCATCTAAGCCAGACTTCTCCTAAAGTCCCCAATGGGTTATGTAAGTTTTTTAGTTATATTTTATGGGGAAAGTTAAATGCATAGTTTTGTTTTGTTTTAAACCGGATAATTCCGATATATTCACCAAAGATTTACTGCAATTCTAATAGGATGGTTCCATGGTTTTGAACTAAAAATCTTTAGTCACCCATGCCAAATGCTCCTTGAGGCAAATCTGCACAAAGATCCATAATCCATATGTATATCCCATTAAATGCTTATGCTACAGCTAATTGTTCATCACTGTTTATAGTGTCATTACTAACTTTAAATTAAAGCATCATACTCACTTCATCAGCCACAAACTCCTTACTCAGACCAAAATCTGTCAGCACCACATGGCCATTAGAATCAAGCAGAATATTCTCAAGCTTAATGTCACGGTATATAATCCCCAACTGTAAAAACAAATAAATATGCATTTAAAAATAAGGATTTCCAAAAGTCTTGCTTATCTTCCTTAAAGACAAACAAACAAACAAGGCATTCTCAGGATGTTATAATGGGTCCTGGTCAATGAAAAGGGCAAATGTAAGTCCCTCCATCTCAGGCTCATCTTCGGGGTTCCCCGGGTCCCTCCCTTCTGTTCTCTGTGTAGTGAGGGTCTATCCCTGCTGTACCTTCTGTAGCCATTGCTACCCGGTACCCGGTAACCACTGCTGCTTCCTGTTTCTATTCTTGTCACAGCTCCCATCCTCACCCCAGATGATGTGTGGGTGCTCCCATTCTCACCCCAGGTGATGTGTGGGTGATCCCATCCTCACCCCAGGTGATGTATGGGCACCTTCTTAGCCAGTTCGAGTCCTTCACCTTCCTAATGGCATCAGCGGGTTTCCATTCTAACCAGATCCCACAATGGTCACTCCTTTGTTTTTATTCCCACAGCTCTTCCAAATAAACTCCCATTTTTTGTCTCTTCCTGGGAAAATCAGTGCTGGCAGCTATATCAAGACTAATAAAACTGGCTTTGTGCTATACTTCTTTGTATTTACCTTTTTAGGGTAGGAAGATTAAGAGAAACTTAGCTGAGATCTGACCTGCTAGATTATTTCCACTCCATATCAAGTACATTTGTATTCAGTATTCATCATGTTCTCTTATTTCTGTGTTTCTGATTACCCTGTTTTAATGATAATGAATGTTCATGGATTTTCCTTTCATAAACAAAATTAAAGCTTTCACACAAATTAAAAACTCATTTTACTGAGCTTTCCCACCAGGGCTCTGTTTTTGTTAGTTTTTGCTCAGGAATTTATGGCCATCTCCACCATCATTCTCATGCCATAAAAAACTACATCTAATATTCCTAAACATAAAATAGAAAGATTTTATGCCTATTCCTGGGCCCAATTTGGTTCATGAAAGACGTCCTTCATGAAACTGCTCTATTTTGTGTGTATATAATATACCCCATTTTTAAGTGTTTAGGCACTAACTGAAACTTTATTTTCAGGAATAATTCGGAGCCTTTTTAAAGACTTTGTAATTGCTAGAATATCTTACTATAAAAGTGTACTTCAGTGCTACTGAATAACTCTCCCTCTTTTAATAAAATTCTTGTCATTTGAGAGAGGAAAAAAAAAATGTCCTAACTACTTTATATCCCACAAAAATAATCGCAGGCATTAAGCTTGTCACCATACCAACAAGTCTACCAAAAGGAAGAGATGTCAGCTCCCATCATCTCAGCTCAGCTTCCTCTCTTCTCGCCTCCCTTTCCTCTCTCCAGGGCACTGCCACCCTGCTCCTGGAGCCTTCTCTCTTTTCCCATTCTTACATATTTTTCATTCACTTCCCTTAAGATTTCTATACTGAACCCCATCTCCCTCCACCTGCCCAACCTCATTTCTATTCTGGGCTGGATCTACCTTTGTCTTGATTCCCTCACTTCTTCTCTTACAACTCATCATTTTTTCTCAGAGCCTCTGCCATCCATTGCCACCATCTTGTCATTCTAACCTCCCTGTCCCTTTAAAAATTCCATCCTTGTTCCTATCTTTCCCTTCGATTTTCTCCATTCTTTTCTATGGTCACCTGTCAACTAGTGTGGGGTAGGGATACAAAACAAAGAAGAAGAGCGGCTTTATGTGTGCCTACATCATCCTAATTCAGTGACTCAAACCAAGCCAGTCTCCTTGTAGCCTCACAGGCTTTTGGTAAAAATTGCTCTAGAGCTTTCTATTTCTGAGGCATAGGTTCAGCAACATAATAACCGCTTCCACAATAATTCTTCCTCATTAAATTTTAAAAAAAGTTTTAAGTCAAAGTTTCTTGGATCGAGATTAATAGTATCTGAAACAATGTTTTTAAAAGCTTAAAACTAATTTTATAGAGTTCAAACTGCATCACAGACGTGAGTTTCATGTAACGTTTTTAGTAATTCAGTTCATGCTACATGAAGGGAGTGTGAGAGAGGGTCTCAGAAACAAAACAATAAAAAAAACAAGCTAGGGTGGGAGAGTGAGAAAGCTGGATAGCACAGGTAGATGCTTCTTTCAAATAACTCATTTTCTCCAACCTCAGCAGAAAATGTACCATGAAGATGTAAAGGGAAGTGAGTCTCTACTAAGGAAATACAACTTCTGGCTTTATTATATAGGTTATTTTAAGAATGGAAAAGTTATTGTGATAACTATGTATGATGCCAGGTAGGTATTGAAAATATCAGAGGAATACTTTGTAAAGTATATTATTATCTAATCACTATGCTACACACCTGAAACTAATACAAAATAATAAGAATGAAAAATTTTATTTTGATACTTTGTAATAAGCATTAGGATTTTTCATAAAAAAATAAAGACAGAATATTGCTCAGGCTCTGCATTTTGAATCTGCATCACAGGAACTACTAAAGAAAGCAGATTTTAAAAAGGAGAACTATAGCCCGGCCTGTGGGGTTCAGTGGTTGAGCACTGACCTATAAATCAAGAGGTTATGGCTCTGGTCAGGGAACATGCCCAGGTTGGAATGTGGGCTTGACATGCAAGAGGCAGCTGATCAATGATCCTCTCTCCTCATTGATGTCTCTATCTCTCTCTCCCTTTCCCTTCCTCTCTGAAATCAATACAAATGTATTTTTTTTTAAAAAGAGAGAGAACTATAAAATTGAGAAACAAGGTTAATGGTCTACAAGCGTGCTTTCACAATCGCCACAAAAACAATGACACGTAAAAACATTAGCTGTCTTAGCCCCATCATGACTTGTTAGTAGATTTTTCAAAGAGAGAAACCTCAAAGGTTGAGCATCTTACCTTGTGGAGATGTTCAAGGGCGAGCACAATCTCTCCAATATAGATCTGCACCTCGTGCTCTGTGAAACGCTCTCTTTGAGAAAGATGAGTAAAAAGTTCTCCACCATTTATATAATCTAAAAATGAAATATATTTTTCTTTCTTTGACTTGTGTTCATAAACTAAAGGAAAAGTTTCCTTTTAATCAATTTGGATTAACCATAAGGCACTGACTTTAATATATAATTTTTGGTGTAATACTTAGTATACAGCTTCATATGGAAGATATTACTAAATTTATATACAATACAGTTTCATAAGATAATGACTAGTCTGAACTACAATCAAATGAAATTGCATAGAGTATTGCCATTAAAACCATTACATGAATTCTACATATATTTAAATATAGTTTCTCAAATACAGCATATCAGAACCTTCAGCCATCACCAATGTGCATTGAAAAATCTGCCACTTCAACGACTATAATAAAAAATGAACAGAACAAAACAAGACACAAAGGAAAATCCCAACTTTCCTTTTAACAGTCACTATTTTTAAGCTGATTCCCTATTTTCCAGGATTTCCTATGCACCTCTTCCAAAAATGTATATTAGGTAGCAGATAACTTTTTTATTGTTCCTCAGAGCCCTGATCAAAACACCTGAAGCTAATTCTTACTCCATTTCCCTTTCAATTGGCCCTATTTTTCTCAAGAGGAATCCTATATAATAAAAGCCTAATATGCTAAGTGTCCAGTAGGCCGTCCAACCAATCAAAGCATAATATGCTAATGATATGCTAAGGCTGCTCAACTGCTAACTATGACATGCACTGACCACCAAGGGGCAGATGCTCCAACCAGTAGGTTAGCTTGGTGTTGGGGTCCAGCCGATCAGGACTGAGTGAGGCAGGCCAGACACGCCCTAGAGCCCTCCCAAGGTCCCTCCTCAGCCCTGATTGTGCACTGGTGGGGTCCCTCACCCTGGCTTGTACCCTCTTGCAATCTGGGACCCCTTGGGGGGATGTCAGAGAGCCAGTTTCAGCCTGACAGCAGAGCCTGACAGCAGAGCAACTGGTTACTGACATGCACTGACCACAAGGGAGCAGATGGTCAATGCAAGAGCTACCTCCTAGTGGTCAGTGCACTCCCACAGGGGGAGTGCTGCTCAGCCAGAAGGCGGACTCACAGCTGGCGGCTCCCAGACTGTGAGAGGGTGCATGACGAGCTGAGGGATGCCCCCGAGTGCACGAATTTTATGCACTGGGTCTCTAGTAATGAAATAAGAGACCAAAAGGCTTCCGTGAGAAATAAATAAGGAAACAATATAAAACACGACAATTATATTCATAATTGGCTCTAAGAAAACATTTGTTAGTATACTGATAATAGTTTCATCAGAAACTACCACTGCTACCTTAACACACATTTGTGTGTGAGAAACAATGTAAACATAGAAAATAGTCACAGATACAGTTTAAAGCTTTTCTCCTTAAAAAAAAAAAAAAAAAAAAAAAAAAAAAAAATTGAAAAGCATGTATCACAAACATATCCATTTGTTGAGTTTACCAAAATCTGATAAAAGAACAAAGCAAAATCTCGATGAACTCACAAATTTTTGTTTTACCTTGCTCATTTAACTTTAAATTCCAAAAAGCAGATACAACAGCAATGGCTGGTTGTTTTGCAATGTAATTTACAAAGCACATGCCAATAAAAAGCATTATCCTCAAAGGCTGCATCTTGCAAGGGGTTTTAATTATAGCTTAGCACAAAGCTAGTATTAAAAAGGAGTAAAGGAACACAGCATTCCTGCAAACTGACAGTGGATTTTTTTCTACCTTTAAGTAGTCACTTAAATCTAATATGGTATTTATGCATAAATACTATGATTTACTTTTGACTCTGGGAATCTGGTTCTTACTCATCTTCTAGAATTTTGATGAAAATCTTGGGATGTTTACTAAGTCCCTGTACCTTGGGAGGAAATGAACTCCAAACTCCGTCTCCCTTGAGGTGGGAGCTGTTAAAATCTTTATTTGGCTTCTGCAGCCACTGGCTACTTAGATTCTTGCCCCACCCACTGCTGAGGAGTCCGTTAGTGGACACAGATTTCCGAACCACCTCTCCCATGGGTGCCCTCTTCACAAGTAAGTTTTGGAGGTCTCACTAGAATGTCACAGTTCTCAATAGTAGACAAAGCTAAAAGGAACACTAACATATTTATGGCACAGAATTTCAGAGAAAATTTATGTCTTAGGAGTGAACCCAGGGTTGTTCTCTCATTCTAGTACTTGGCCTTGCCTACAGAGATATCTACACTTTCCTAAGAGAGTATCACCTTAATCTACCTGCCTGTTAAAACAGAAGCAAATGAATTTGGCAACCTAGAAGAGCTACATTCTAAATTCTTGCCAGAGATTAGAACCTCAAAGTATCTGCAGTGCAAATCTCATCAAATGTTCAGTTATGAGAAATCATACATACATACATACATACATACATACTTATGGAGGACAATATTTGTAATCGATATGCCTTTCTGGATATGCCACGATGGCTGAGCAAAGTCAGAGCAGGAGGAAGCTACAACTCTAATGCTGTTTTAGAGAAATTATACTTTAATCTTGTTTCACAGGCTAGCATTAGTGGGACGGTGGCATGAAACTTGGCATCAGTCTAGGACAGTGTTCGGCAAACTGCGGCTCGAGAGTCACATGCGGCTCTTTGGCCCCTTAACTGTGGCTCTTCCACAAAATACCACGGCCTGGGCGAGTCTATTTTGAAGAAGTGGCGTTAGAAGAAGTTTAAGTTTAAAAAATTTGACTCTCAAAAGAAATTTCAATCATTGTACTGTTGATATTTGGCTCGGTTGACTAATAAGTTTGCCGACCACTGGTCTAGGAGGGCTGGTGAAAACTCCTTTATATCTGGGCCCTATTAATTTTCTGGGTCACACTGTCTTAAACTTGGGTTTTTAAGAAAATGTATCTCAGTAGAATTTCAAGCTTACAAAAATATTTGCAAAAAAAAAAAAAAAAAACAATACAAGAAATCTCCATATTCCCATTATGCAAATCTACCAATTGTTTATATTTGCTTCACTTGCTTTAGTAGTCAGTCTCTCTGTTTTTACATATGTGCATATTTTTCCTTTGCTGTTGAAAGTAAGCAGGAGACATCGTGTTCCTATCCCTAAATCCTTCAGTGTGCATCTCCTAAGAAAAAGAACATCCTTGCACAGAAACAGAGTACAACTATCAATGTCAAAAAACTGTAACTATGATAAAAAATATATATATATAATTTACACTCCCTAGTTAAACTCTGTGATTTGCCCAATGACTGCTCTTTGTAGCTACTTTTTTTTTCCAGTGTAGGACCTAGTTTATGGTCCCACTGGCTATCACAGCTCTTTAGACTGAACCCTTGGTCTTTCCTCCTTGACCTTGACATCTTGAAGAAGCGAGGCTAGGCTTTACGGATAGGCCCTCCTTCTGAGGGCCAACCTTCAATTTGGGTTTTACCTAATGTTTTCTTATGGTTAAATGCAGGCTATGTATTCTTGGAAGGAACATCAGTGAAATGGTTATTGCCTTAATCTACCTGCCTGTGAGATATATCAGGAAGCATGCGATGTCAATTTTCCCAGTACTGGTGTTAATCCCGATCATGTCATTAATGTGGAGTCATTAAGGTGGTGTCTGCCAGGTTTCTCCACTACGAAGTCACTAGTTTCCCTGTGTAATTAACTGGTAAATTGTGGGGAGACGAATTAAGACTGTGTAAAAATATCCTGTTCCTTATCAAACTGGCACCCATCCGTTTTAGAATCCAATGGTGACTTCCTAACCCACTGTCCTTCTCTATGTTGGTTAGCATTCTCCCATAGGAAGGGCTTTCCCTCACCTCATTTACTGCACTTTCTGACTTGGTGCCACTATGTGTTCCAGTTTCATCTTGTACTTTTTCTAGGCTTCATTTTAAAGTAGCCACCACTATGGATCACTATCTACCATGGGTGGAACTCAACACTTCACCTGTGTCAAAATTTATGTCAGAGACCTTAACCAAGGCAGCAATAGGAAGGGTTTGTGGAAGGGGCTCTCACACCCTCTGTGGGTTTCAAAGCTCTACTGGAAGAACTCCATGGCTACAACAGAGCTGGCTGGTGTTAACAGCCTCTCCCCTCCACTTCCTATTCCCCTCTGAAAAGAATGTCCTTCTTGCTCTCTCTTCTTGCACGTGTCCTGCCTGGCTGCACAGACCACACTGCAATCCTTTCTTTTTCCCCAATAAGTACTTTCTGATGAATACCTACTCAACGTTTTGTTTCCAGTCAACACAGGCATCATCCCATTTAAGCCAAACAACTCCAGGCAGATGGGAAAGCAAAGGGTCAGAGAGAGTAAATGACCTGACTGTTAGGAAACACTGAAACCCAGAGTTGAACGCAAGCTGGTACTTAAGCACAGGGTGGGAAAGGAAACAGCACGTTCTGGGAGAGTGGTGGGGTGTTCAGATTGGCTGTAGCATAGGCATCAGAGCACAACGTGGGAGACTGAGTGAAAAAGGCTGAGGATGGTGTTTTGATGATATCCACTTCAAGTAAAATGGGAGGCTCTAAGCAGTGGAATGATCCAATCATGGCTATGTGTTAAGAAAAGTAATTAAATTGTAATAGAAATTATGAACTGGAAAGGATAAGAGAGGTCAAAAACTGAACATCACAACCATCTAATTTTCTGCTATTAAAAATAATGATGCTGTTCCTGACACACCAAAGGGGACAATATACATAGGCTGAGCTATGTAGAGAAAAGAAATCACGTGGTTCTTCCAAATACCAGTTATGAGATCTTGGCTACCTGAGCCCAGGGCACATCATTTGTAAAACAAAGATGGTAAACCATGCCTTGAAGGGTTGGATGAAGACTGAATGAAATGATGTATAGAAAATGCCAAGAGTAGTGCCTGATAACAAACAAGTACTATAAAACTAAGTATTACAATGAAAAGTATTTGCTACCTTCATCTCAAACTCCTCTGTAGCTCTGGAGTCTGGGATTTTCTGGCCCTCAACCAACTTTACTTCATATTGACATTCTCATTCTTATAATAATTAGAACAATAATA